GAGTCGTCGTAGCTAAAATGGAAAATGGTGCTCAAACAGACAACATATTGACTGCGAGTGCAAAGGATTCACTTCCGGACTCATTCTGCAGCATCTAAATAATAATAACGGGCAAACCCGAGTTTATAAAAAGCCTGTGACCAAGCGGTTTCTGAGCTTTGTTTTGCTAGTTTTTTGTTCAATACCGGTTGATCACTTGAATAAAAAAAAACAATTATGACAAGCTTCTTTCTGGAATTCGGGTCCTTTTACGAGAGCCACTTTGCGTTTTGTTTGCTTTTTTCTTTTTCATTTTACTTCGTTTTATTGGATACACAAAGCTACAATTTTTATGAAGGGGAAAACGGTCAATCAGAGGGCTGACACTCAACACACAAACGAGGAGAGTCGTCTTTCACAGCACCGTAGATACCAACGAAAGCCAAACAAACCTATTATATGTGAGGACCGTTTGGATGATATTTGGGTAGATAATTCGGCTCACATAACAGACAACAAATGGGTAATGTAATGTGGCGAATTGGCTACACGTGCAACATATAAGATACAAAGATTGTAAAAATCTGTATTGAAACTTCCCTAATGACGTTTTACACCAGCCAGGTGGTGGAACGATATCGTCTGACAGGCTCTGACAAAACACTGATGCGAATAATCATTCCGTGCTGATCAGTTGACAACGAAATAAAGTGTCATTCAGCATACATTCTTGACCACCCAAAAGTTGATCGATACAAAACCTCTATCGTCAGACAAATAAACAAAAAAGCTGGATTAAAATAACCTCACTAATGCGGCTCACTGTTGAATGTGAAATAAAAAGGGGATTGAATTGAAAACTATTACGATCGGTAATCTGAACACTACTCGTGTATGGTTCTACTAATAATAATTGAGTACACGGTTATCAAATAGTCAGATGATTTGCAGCAAAACCCTGTTACTTTATCATGTACTTGTGCGGCAAACGGAGCACTTGATGATGATGAAGGATGGCTTTTGACCAAAACAATCTCAGCGGTTGTAATAGACGTGCAGGGAGATTATAATCTTAATCCGAGCGGTAGATTCATGGCCCTTGTGCAACCAAATAGACAGAGAAACAAACACATGATGAAGTATGCTGGGAATCTATTAACAAATGCTCTTTATGCAAAACACGATTCAGATATGGCGGAAAGGAATAGGGTTAAAGAACAGTTGAATACGACCCGACGACGCACAAATGTAGAATTGGCATTGAAATTTCAATTTACAAATCACTATCTGGTGTAATGGTAGCTTGCAGCTCTTTATACTTGAGACAAACCCGACACCCATCTCCAATAATGCGCACCTAAGGATGAAGCTTTTGTTGTGAGGTAATCGGGACGGCGAAAATTGAGCTGGTCCATATCGCTGTCCGCACAGATCACATTACCATATGAATGTGCAGCCAAAAATAAAAATGCTTTTTCACTGTATACATTTCCGAATTGTCTTTTTCGTCCACAATTTTCTTTGAATACTTTGTAGTTTGATTCACATGTTCACTTCACTGATCAGTTGATTAGTGTTAAATCTAATGTGTATTTGAACTATCCATTTTGATGTGAAATTATTCTGGCAAACTGTGTGCAATGAATGATATCACATATTTCGTTATTAATGATTAACTATTGCTCAATACCTCGAGTTTTAAAGAGAAAAAATATGCCCACTGCTAGTTTTTGTAGGGTGCGTTGCCCAATAGTGATACCATCTCAGCTTATTTTTGTCCGTATAGATTATCTATATAAGTATATAGTAAAGTAGACACGACCATTTAACGGTTGCCAATCAAATCACGTAGAAACCTTGGGCGGTAATAGCGGAGACAGGATATAATAGGGATAGACGATTGGGGCTAATGATGGTCTCTATACCCCAAAAATTGCCATCTATTATGTTCCCACTTATTTGATGAAATTTCTGTTTTCCTTGTTTTTTGGGTATCTTTGGGAAACTGATGTAATAAAATGTAGATATGGTTATTGCAGAGCTCACCCCCTCCAATGTGATGTCATGGAAACTGTTCGTTCTTTGATAAAATAATAAAATGCGTAGATTGAATATGAAGTTAGGTTTTAACCACGCATCATCATTCAGTATATCCCTGTGGAGTGTTTCAAGTAGATCGCTTTCTTAAAGAAAACAAGAAGAACATTTAATAATTACTTACTTCTTCATTAGGCAATCGCAAAGGTCTATTTCACAGCCGAGAGCAAGTTTCCTTTCAAAGTTCTGGGGATATTACATGAAACCTCTTGGATCAGATGTGCAGCGTGTAGCTAGCGGAATCTTTCCACATCCAGACATTTATTCCTTGTTGGGATCATTTTTGAATATCTTCTCTGTATCCTGGATACAAGTGCTAGCTGGGACGCACTGGACAGCTGTCTCGACTTGATTGGGTCTCATCAGCAGTGCAAACCCAAATGGGAATCCAACCCGGGACAATGGTCATTTGTGTGGTTATATACCGAAAGCAACGGGATTATTGCAAGTCTATAGCCTCAAAAACAACTGTTATCTTTCTGCAATTATGATGTGCAACTTAAGTTTGAATCTTTCATCAAAAGAACGGTGGGGTGATGGGGTTCCCGTTTTTTAACTTGTTTGCTGGTGTTTTCGCATCTTAAAATATAAAACAGTCCGCTTGGGACACATGTCGAATACTGCGTGCTGTACACACGTTGTGTACATGACATTTTCTGCATGGTTGATTCTACTACAGTGTCAGCACTTTCTATTATATATTATATAAAGTTACCAATAGACAACTTCAAGTCTGCACATAGTTATTTGAAATTCACGCTTGAAAACAAACGAAATGATAAGCTATCATATTCGGAAATGTCCCTCATTCGTCGTGAAGACGACTCGATCAGGTGGTCAGAACAAAGGGAAGGGCATGAACAGAGCGATACAGCCGTTTCCCTAGCTTTGTACCACTCAATTCGAGGAGGATTCTCATATTCTGTTTCTTTTGTTGTGTTCGGACTAGACGTACGAATGGCACGAGCGGCTCTTGCTTAACCCCTCACGATAACGCGGAGAGAGTACACAGCTTGAGACAACATACAGTGTGTATTCCTTCATGAGATGTCGATATGAATATATGTTGAGTAAATCGTTCATACGAGAACGGCGCAGTGACACGCCAATCAGATTGCGTCGTTGACATATCGATTGATCGATCGGACAAACATTGGCCGACACGTTCTGTGGTCATCCAATCAGGTTCAGCCTGCCTGGAGCGTTGCAAGCGTGCGTGTGGTCTAACTCGGAGGTGTGCGCGATCGGACGGGTTGCTTAAGCTCCGTCCTAACATCCTTCACAGAGCTTTAAGATCATGCAAGGAGGACGTGCTAAAAACGTTGAACGCCTCCTTAAAAACAACTGATCGCTCCAAGCGACACACAATACAACCAAATTGCAACTACCACCGGCTCTGATTGTGTCATGCAGTCTATGTCCCGTTTTAAGTCAGCGGAGTTGAAAACCACATTTGAAGAAAGTTGAACTATTGGCCCTATTAATTATTTTCAAAACTCGGTTCTTCAGGAAGTATTCTCGATATATTTTTAAGTGCACCGGACACGAATCACATTCGGGTAGGGAATCACAGGCGTTTATATATAAGCCTGAACTATTCAGATTGTTCCGTATGCAAAATTAAAGTCTTATACGGACCAGCCATAAAAACAATTGATGCAGTAAAACAAATGATCAGTTCAAACAACACTTTCCAACATATCCTTCTGTTTTTGAAAGATTTTTTATTATGATCCTGATTGGTGTATCCGTCGACTTCGTGTTCGGGATAAAGATTCAGCTCTCATACCCGTCGTTGATATTTCTCGCTGCGATTCTTGTACACTGATTTCAACATCTTCCTGAACGTTATTTGGATCTTTTCTTTTTTCGTCTTTGTCGCCATTCTCTTCCCTTTTCCTCAAATGTACTCTATTTCTCCGTATTACCCGTTTACCATAAAGTACTAGGTACTATTTTGTGTTGCTGGCGATATCACTTCTCCCTTCACCCACACCTTCACCGTTGATCCAGTGGTTGTACCCAAATCGTGTCTCCTGATCTGAGTGAGCACAGAAGTTTATTGCCGCAGCCGTGATATCTATTCTGTAGCGCAATGCGTTTCCCAGGCCTTGATTATTGATGGCGCAGTTTATAGCTGTAGTAACTGGACTCAAATGGGTAGAACCGTGCGCATGCTTCTGCCAAAAAAATATTGGCTCGGATGGTGCGCATGTTGGCCGACGGTATGCTCCGTAACTCGAGCAGAGCCATTAGTAAGTCGCTACCGTTCGCGCCGCATCTTGTATAAGCTTCTTTGCCTGTTTCACTGCGCTTTCTGCTTTGCCATTGAGCTGACTATGATATGGGTTAGTAAAGTGGTGCTCAAAGTACCACCTTTCACGGAACTTCTAGAATTCGGTACTACAAAATTGGGGGGAGTACCATCGGAAATCACCTGAACTGGTATCCCGTGTCGTGCAAACTGAACGCCCAGTTTGTCAACGATGTACTGGATTGCAGTAAATCAACTTCGAAAATTCACTGTAGTAATCAATAGATATCAAGTAGTTATCTTTTCCGTGATAAAAAAATATCCAGCGCTATCATCTGCCATGGTCCATCTGACATTGTACGCATATTCATCGGTTCCTTCGTTTGCCGTTGACCAAAGTTCCTGAAAAGTTCGCATTTAGTAATCAACTGTTTCATCTGTTCTGACATACCCGGCCAATAATATCTCCCTGGCGCCACTGATGCATCCGTTGGAACCGGCTTAAGAGCAATGTATCAAACTCATTACGTTTTATTGAATAGCTTTTGGCAAGACCAACGTTTCTCCACGTAAAATCAATTCATCTTGAACGGCTAGTTCATCTCGGAATTCGAAGTAGGGCAACAGGTCCATCGGAAGGGCTTTTTGTTTTCTGTCCAACCACGAGTGATTACGTCTTGAGTTTTTGCATGCTCGGATCGTCAGTATTTGCAGTTTGTATGTGAGACATCTCGAACTGCGTCACCGGCAATGCAGCATTCACGGATTCCAGTTTTTGTTCCTTCCCTGTGTCGGGCAGTGTGGCTCGCGACAAGGTGTCAGCCACAAACATGTGTTTACCTTGTTCGTAATGCAGTTCATAATTGCATTTCTTGAGACGTATTAGCATTGGTTGTAACCTCCTTCGTGCTCTGTGGAGTGGTTTATCCACAATCATGATCAGTGGTTTGTGATCCGAGTACATATGCGTAAATCGACCAAATGTGTAATCACTGAACTTCTCCGGAGCATACACAATTGCTAACATTTGTTTCTTTATCTGGGAGTAACTTTGATCACAGGCCATTAGTGTCCTAATCCGGTAATCCAAAAGACGCACATTTAGAATGAGCACGACATCTACCGCTTGGAGGATTCGTTTCTGAAAATCTTTACTTGATACTTTCAAACCGAACGGCAGTCTTTTCCAACGATATCGCTCGAGTGGCGAGCCAAAAATGGGCAAGTAGCTAAGTCTATCATCCAGCTCTTAGTATCAAAACGCAGAGGTTAAATTGACCTTCGTGAATCATATAGCATTAGCTAATTCCGGTAGTATATCATCAAAAATGGGTAGGGTGAAGCGCTCCCGTCTTATGCCTTGTTTAGTGGTTTCGGATCGATACATATCCTCAATTCCCCAGAATTTTTCGTCACCAGCACAACCTGACTTACCTCGTCTGTTGGTTAACCGACTTCCTTCAAAACGCCCTTTGCGATGAGGTCATTCACTTCACGCGAAAATTCCTCTCGAACAGCAAGTGGGATCCGCTGCATTGGTAAAACAACGGGCTAGGTTGCGTCGTTTATATGAAGTGTCACAGTTCCTGGCAACTTTCCTAATTCTCCACCAAAAACAGAGGCTTCCTTTTTCAGGTAGTATTCGGTGTCCTTCAAAACGTGATAAATAAATAGGTAAACGATACCAAATCAAATTGCTCGATGGACTCGTAACCCAGGATCGGAACATAACCCGGCTCCACCACGACTAAACTCACAGCAGAAGAGACTCCGTTTCTAGGATTCTTCATTGTAATAGGGGTTTCTCCTTTCGGCTCCACGTTTTCACCGTTCCACATAACCAATCTCGTCTGGGTAAGGTTCAATGTGGTATCGGGTAGGCAATTTGTCGGTATTATGTTAACAGACACACCAGAATCTAGTTGGAATGTTACTTTTTCTCCATTCAAAAGCAATTTAGCGAATATACATTTCTGTTTACCTGGTAGTTTTACACCATTGACACGATCAGCTGCTGGAACCTGAGGTTTTGAAGTTGATTTCTTGTTCATAAAAAACGTTCCTGCAAAATGATTACGCTTTTTGCAGTTATCACACATTTTTCCCAGAGCAGAGCAGTTGTTTCTTCCCATCCGTCGTGTGCGGCTACAGAAACGGCAAGCAGCTGTTGGATGTTTTCGATTTTCAGTGGTGATTTTGCACAATCCTTAATCCTCTGTTGTGGTAAGCGTCTCCATATGCTTCTCTGCTGCCTCTTTACTCCGACGTATGTCAATGCATCTTTTTAATTTCAGCTTTGGAATTTTTAGGAGGAGCTTCGCTATAGCAGAATCCCGTAGACCAAAAACATTTCGGTCCCTTATTAGGCTCTTTTCCAGAGAGACACAGAAATTGCACAAACGAACCAGTAGTTTTAGGGATAGAACGAATTCGTTGAGGGACTCACCATGCCACTGTTTCCTCTGGTTGAAAATGTATCCTTCATAAGTCTCTTTGGAATCGCCAAGACGGTACTGCTCCATTCTCGCCATTACCACCTACCACCTACCACCTACCAATCTGCTGGGTCCTGTACGTGAATCCATTTATACCACGCAGAGCAGCCGGACCGATCGAGTGACGGAACAAAGCTAATTGTACGGGACTGGATTTGCTGTCCATCTCTGTCAGTCTACGAATGTCTGCATACTGTGTTCCGCATAGTCTCCAATTGTCAGCCAATCGCCCCGTCTCCTCCATAGCCAGGTACGCAGGCGGTTGGATCTGCAGTCGACTATTAAGTCTCTCCAACATTGGGGATTTCACATCAGTTTCCGCTGCCACCATGTCAAAAGCCGGTTCCTCGTGAACTGCTTTCGAATTAATTTTTAAGTGCACCGGACATGGATCACACTTGGAAAGGGAATCACAGGTGTTTCTATATAAACCTGAGCCAATCAGATTGTTCAGTTTGCAAAATTAAAGTCTTAATCATAAAAACACAATTGATGCAGTGAAACAAACGGTCAATTGAAACAAGAATTTCCACCACAGTTATGTTTTGGTTTCCTGATCAACACAAAACGTTCACCTGAAATGATCGCATTACTTGCTCCAGTGCGATATTTGATATCTGACAAAAAGAAAAGGAAGATAATATGTATTCAATACAGGATCAAGTGCATTTTTTCGTGTTTAGGCAAAGAACTTGATTTTCATGATAGCTTGAAGACAGTGTGGTAAAATCCGCCATGATAGGGGCAGTGTTCGCTTGGAGGAAGTGTCCTTTGTTAGAGATTACGCCCTAAGGAGTGAAGGCGTAAAGTGTTGTGAAAGGTGGGCGGTGGAAGTTCAGTTTTACTTTATTTTGATTGTGAATTTAGATTAATCATGATGGAAATAACAACACCAACCGCGTCAAGGAATTTTTCAGTCTACACAAATGTTTAGCGTTAAACTCTATGAGACTTCGAGGAATAAGTTCGATGTTAAATTTTGTCATTCCATTCAAATCCACTTCACAGTTACTTGTGAGTAGTGGGTGTGATGAGGTAGTTTATTCGGACTAAAAATCGTTCGTGCGCAATATTCGATTCATTCAGTCAGCCATGCATCCCGAAGCAATAAATTGCAGTTTCGTCGGCATTGGTCGTCATCATTAGTGCATTATAGAGAGTCGAGAGTCCCATTCCTTCTGGGTAATATTTTTATACTTTTTGAACTTGCTTAATTTTCGCTTATTGTTTCAGTCACACAGTTTTGAACAATTCCTTATTTTGATTACAGTTACGTGGTGAGCTTTTGGACGTGGAATATTGGTGTAGTCGCTGTCACTGGCGTGGTTTGTATCCCAGGTTCCGAGCTTCGAAACCCGCCATCGACACCCAACTTTGGTGGTTACCAGCTGTGTTGTCGTCCGGCTCAATAGCACGCCTAACCCAGTTGGTCGTTATGTGGTTCACCATTTCAAGTTGTCGCTTTTCATCATTAAACAGCAAATCTTCAAGATGATGGGGTTCACTCCGTCAGCTGTGGTCAGAATATGAAATGAGGATTGTCTATGGTACACCACCATAGAAACATCTGTTTGTAAGTGTAGGGCTGCGACTTTGAAGTTGTGTCCTGAACGTCAGGCAGAATGTAAAATAGATCGAAAAGTAAACCACTTTGGAGATATATTTTGAAAAGAAAGCGTTAATATTCCGCTCTTCATACTGATTGCTCCCATTTTGATTGAAACATATAAATGTTGTACAATGCTCCTAAAAGTAAATAATTACCAAGAAACTGACGGATAAAAATCACTTTGACAGGACGTGATGTACTTGACAAATCTGTGGCCTATACTTACAGAAATAAGGCTGCATTTGCACGGTCTGTGAAAGATTTAACTGACTAGTTGATAAATGGAAATACTATGCGCCTAATGCCCATAATATAGGATGTCTGGTATTTTCCAGAAGCAAATAGGTGACCAATTGCAGCTTCCGCTCGGCAATCTGAACATGAATTGCGTTTCTGTTCTAACTCTGAATAGGTAAATATTCGTGAGCGATTTGTTCAAGCACAAAATTTGCGAAATCCCGGTTTAAGCGCAGATAGGAACATTTCAAAGACTACATTAACAAAATGCTACCCTTAAACTTCTGAACGCGGGAATGTGACTGAAGTAAGTTACCCTCGAATAGCATCAGCCAGCCTGTGCCCAATAAGATACGCATCAATGTTAAAAGAAAGTGCAATACTACGGAGGATTTATCATAAAATCATAGCCTGTGCATATGACTCAAAATTTGCTCTCAAATAGTAGTCGAAATTTAAACAACATTTAGTGTCAGTTATGTGAATTCAGTCATGTGGTGCAGGCAAGTTGCATACAAGTCCGCGAATGACTGAAAGATCAAACATTTTTCTTTTTCTAGCCTTTGCTTATGCGGCTAAACGTGAGGCTGTTTTACTGCGAGCACAATCCTCTTAACAAGTTTGTTGATTTGAGTTATTCACGTGACTCAAACGAATTCGTCTGGGGTAATCCCCATCCTTAATGCATTGCGTGTGTATTCATATACGGTTTCATGACCATTTTAACAAAGTCTCATAGTGTACATGCTCAAAGTTCGATTTACCGTTACAGTTTGATCAACAGGTCATAGAAAAATCTGCTCCCATAGCTACAGGATTCTAAGGAGATTAACTAAGCCAGTTCCTCCGTGAATGTTTCATTCCTGATTTTCGGAGACTAACAGCTTATATTAGTCTATAACCCGTGTTCATTTCACATTCTTAACTTTTGCTAATTTTAAACGCAATGCACGTTTGTATAGTTTCAATTATTTGAATTTTCATATTATATTTAACCGACATCCACTTTGTCTCAAATGTAATAACGTCGGGCACTTCTTACTTTTTGTTAATTTTTCTGGATATTTTTGGTGCAATTTTTGGACTGTCGATTTTTAACTATTTAAGCAATTTCAACTTAGCCTCAATTTTAATGAAAACTGCAAACTTCATATAGGCCTCTCAGAAAAATTACTTCAAAACGGACTTCACAGTACAAACCTATTAAACCAGTTTAAACACTTAGTAATGCTAACTTGTTCAGTTTAGTTGAAATCAGGTCGTTAGACAAATGATTGAAGACAACGAACTTCTTATTGGTATCCATTGTCTACTGAATCATTTAATTTGAAAAAGGCCTGGTCTGTAGTTCATTTGATGATTTCGGGTAATTTCCGGCGGAAAAGTACCAGAGCTGTGGATCTAAACCGTAATCTGTGGGCTGCATATGCTTCCATAGATTGTATGTACAAACCAAAGGTGGAAAGTATTCCCGTGCGCTAGGTTGGGCGTTATACCTCATCTGCTCTAACCTGCGCTATAGAAAAGCGTCACTGACTACCATACGTCGAAAAAGATATGCTGGCGATACGATTTTCCAACTCTTACGCGTCCGACCTCCTTGTTACGACCGTTAGAAGCAGTTCGATGAGATTAGTTTAAGTTACCATACATCCACTATTCACGTTCCGCGGCGTTAACTGCGCCAGAAATTTTTATCCATTTCTCTAGAAAACAGTGTTTACC